CTTTGTCATAAAAAAAAACCCTATGTTATTAAACATGTTGAGTGCCATATTCTGTAGATCTCTGAAGTGTCTGAAGATGGCATGTCTTTCTAAAATATGTTTGACCTTGTAAACATACCTAATGTGACTACAAGCTCAATTGTAATAGTTGACTAATTACTAAACTACATTTCCTTATTATCCTAAATAGTTGATAATAATAACTTTCAAGGACCAGAAATTTGCATTACATTGTAAAATGAACTGTAAATGGACAATACCTTGAACAATATTAGAAACATATGTACAGTATGTTTTAGCAAAATTAATCTCAAATTTGTATCAATATACAACATTTATATACAATATATAAAAATCCAGTCCAATGTAAAATATTTAAAACTGTTAGTTTCTTTTTAAGAGAGGATTCAATAATCTGCCTTTTATCTTACCATATCTTTATTCTCTCTTTTTTATTATCAGAGTAGATTCAGTAATCTACCTTTTTATCCTATAATATCTGTATTCCTCTTTTTTTCCCAAAACAAAAATCTTGAGTCTAATTCCCTTTGTTCAATTTTCTTCCTGACTCAAAGCAACAACATCTTGTAATCAATCCCCCTAAATAATGACAAATATTCATAACCCAATGAGTGACCAAAAACCACCTACCCCTACCTCTTGGGAATGTGGACATTGCCCTCCTAAGGTTACTTCCTTCTGTCAAAGGAGGAAACAAAACAAAATTTGGGTTAATTGTAAAGCTACATCATTTGTTGTCTAATCTGTGTGTAACGGGCAAGTTCAGGACTTGTTTCAAATACTGGTGTCGTGATATCTTGCTTATACAAATAAAGCCTGTTTGAAGATCAGAGGATGGAGCTTGCCACTAGCTAATCATAGAGGGCTGGAGTTCTGTACAGACAGACAGAAAGTAAGATGCCTGGGCAGAAACAGGAAGTGAGATGGCTGGGCAGAAAGAGGATATAAGCAGGAAGAAACAGGAACTTACTTCCTGTCTGCTAAGGAGGTGGAGGTGGCTTTGGCTTGCTCCTTCTCCTCTCTGATCTGTCAGCATTTTCCTCTATATCTGACTCTGGGGTTTTATCATTTAGACCGATTAAGAACTCCTTTTTGAGCCGGGCGTTGGTGGCTCATGCCTTTAATCCCAGCACTCGGGAGGCAGAGGCAGGCGGATCTCTGTGAGTTCGAGGCCAGGCTGGACTGACAGACTCCAAAACAGAGAAACCCTGTCTCGTAAAACCAAAAAAAAAAAAAAAACTCCTTTTTGCATTTTGGCACCCAATGTGGATGATGGGGGATGTCTGTATGCTATGAATATATGCTTCTCTTATTGGTTGATGAATGTTTCAGCCAATGGACAGGCAGGATTTAGCCAGGCAGGAAATCCAAACAGGAATAGAGAAAGGAAGTAGGCAGGGTCAGGGAGACACCATGTAGCTGTCAAGGAAGCAAGAGACCCAGGCACCACCAGTAAGCCGAGATCATGTGGAGATACAAATATTAATAGAAATGGGTTCATGATTAAGAGACAACTAGCCAATAAGAAGCCTGAGGTACGGGCCAAACCATTTATAATATAAGCCTCTATGTCTTTATTTGGGACTAAATGACTGCAGAACCAGGTGGGGCAGAAACTTATATCTACACTGGTAGGAACAATTTTTCCTAACAAACTATTTCTCAATTCTAGAATTCAAGAACTTGAAAGCTTTCCAGAAGCTCACACCATACCAGCATCTCAGTCAATATTAACACTATGTGCCTACCAAGTTATTACAAGGATCCAGCTTGACATATCCATAGCACCTTGAGTTATCAACATGATTACTTGAAGTAACAGGTTGTTTTCCCCTGCATTTCTCTGCTAAATGGCTGTAGGTAGTCACAATTTGTCACCATCTTAATGGCTAACATTAACTCTTAGGCTACCCTACACAAGGAAGTGATTATGCTCATTCCAGAAGTCAAATAAAAGGTCAGTGCCAGGTATGGGGTACTTCCCTCAAGCTGGTGAAGTATCCCAGAGAACCTCAAAAGGGTACAGGCTGATGTCTTGGCTCTTCTGGACAAGACAAGGCTGTTTCATTCATGAGTTCACAGCAGCTGTGGTTGCCTACATAAGACCCTGAACAATATTAAACCCACCAACCCTGGCTCATGGAATAGGAAGTTGCTCAACAGCCTCCAGTCCTAACTGAGGCACTTTGGATAGTTGATAGCTTCTGGGAGGAGGGAGAGAGAGTTATATTTTCATCATAAGTAAAAAATCTAACTCTTCGACAATGCAATCCACAATGTATAGGTGGATAGAGCTGAAAACAGATACAGGGACTAGATAAGCTGTTGACAAACCCAGCTGGAAAGTTTCTGGGACACTGTTAGAGAGCCAAGCCTGCAGGCTGCAAGTTTGAACTGAGTGTCAAGGTTGAGTTGACTTGGAAAGGCAAGGTGTAGAACTTTGGGGTCCACAGATGCAAAGGTGATGTGCAGGACCATATCCTGACCGACAAACAGGTGGCAGTTGGAGTAGGCCATATTAAAGGTGGAGAGCAAGACAAGGTGAGACCCAAAAATGCTGTGGCACTTGAACATACACTCCCCCTGTCCCAAACACCCACACTCAAAGAAATAAATGTAACCACAAACAATTTAAATGACCCGGAGAAGTGCCTCATTCTGATATTAGCTTCTTTTGCTTCTTTATTACTGAAAATTTCATATAGATACACAATGAAATATGACCACAACTGCCCTCACCATTTATTTGTCTTCTCCAGTTCTCATATCCCAACATGCCCTTCTCCTAACTGCATGTCTTTTTATTGTAACTCACTAAGTCCTGTTAGTGTTCCCATGTGTGCATGGCTGTGGGGCCAGGCATAGGAGCAAGGGAATCCTCGCAGTTGCTCAGCATTTTAAAAGGCATTTTTGCTGGGTCTGAGAATTCCAAGCTGTCCAAGATGCTTTTGTAGCTGAGCGTTAAAACACTTACTTAATTTTTACAAGGCCCTGGGTTTAACACACACACACACAAACACAACACACACACACACACCTCTTTCTTTTGCTTGAAGAGAAATTCTGCTATTTTTCATTTATGAGGCTTTTCTACATACATTCTGCTTCTCAATAACAACATCTGTCTCCCACATCCTCACCTGCTCTGTTCACTTTACCTTGGTCATTATCTGTGGGCTATTTTTTAATGTCTTGTATTCTGTTTCCCTGCGGCACAGATAGAAGCAGATTTCCTTATTGTCTATCTTTCTTAGAATCTGTTGGGCATGCTTCTCTTTTAGCCTGGTGTCATGTATTAGTCCTGGTAAAATCTGAGCCCCTGCTTTTTGAATATAATCAGCTTGCCTTCGTTTGTCTGCTGTAGCAGCAAACCAATGTTTCCTGTGGTTTTCCTTAAAGAGAACCCTTATTGCTTTACCTTTGGATCCTGGCACTGTTGAGAAATGATGCAGATGATCTTCACTTTAAGAAGATATTTGTTGAATAATAAATTTGAACCCAGAGTGATACTTGATCTCCTCAAATATAATCGATTATGGGCTCCTTTGTTTGGTTTTTTGCTTTTATTTTGAGATAGTCTTTCTCCCTATCTCTGGCTGACCCCAAACCCCCAATCTCTGTGTTTCCAGTCTACTGTGTCCTGGGATTGAAAGCAGGCACCACCATGCCAAGTTGCATGTTGTATTGTTATCTAAGAAGCAAAACCTCCTCACAGAGTCAGGAACAGCCAGCAAATTATCAGGGTAAGTCACCCGAATGTTCAGTTCACCTCTGAGTTCTTACAGATAAAAGGCTAGCTCTCCGCCCTCTGTGAGCAGACTCTCTCAGGGCAGTCTTCTCTCCTAAGGCTAAGCCTCAGCTCTTGCAACACTCCTGAGACTCACCACTGAAGCTGTGAATTAAGCTGTCGTCTTACCATGTCTGCCACGGCTTCAGAGGACTTCTAGGTGGTAAGTTGATTAAAAATCCTTATAAAGTATATGTCATGTATACATTTATAAACTATACTAATTTTTATTTTCTTTAGTGACTGTAGGAAGCTTCTAAGATTAGAAGTTTGATACGAAGGCATCACTGGAGTCTAATGCTAGCATTACTTGAATCTTAAGGGTAAAACCCGGTGTGTCAGCAGCCCAGATAGGTTAGACTGATTATCGATCCCACTGTGCCAACTAAAGTGACACAGTGAAAACTCAGAGACAGTGAAAGGCAGAGGAAGGAGATTCCACTCATGTGCACTAAAGGGGTCCTGTGACCCCATGCCCACCTTCAGGGTGCAGATGGAGTGAGGTGTTTAAGCAAAGAAAGATCCGGGCCAGGGAGAGATGTGCTAATGAGGAGCTCTGTTCTGAGTGGTCCACTTGATCATTGTCTCCATTCTGGTTCTTCCAGACAGCTCCACGCAGTTGCAATCACTGCAATCGGCTGAGCAGCGCAAGCTGCCTCCCTTGAGACGGTCCCATCTGCTTCACAGTAGCACTCACTGGCATTTAGTCCTCGCTCGGCTGGCATTCTGTCCTGTGAGCCTTTGCTGGTTTTGAGACCCACAGTGACTGCTGCTTTCAAACAATGACTCTTGCTGCCTTCAGTCTTGAAGGGAAATAAAGTGGCTTTGTTAGCTGCAGATTGTAAATGGATGCTCTGGATGATTAATACAGTTAAATGCTTATGCCTTCATGGACATTAGCTGAAAGTCTGTTAATGAGCACACTGATGGCTGTCTATAAACAGAGACCTCCAATGCCAGGCTGCCATATGCTGTGTTGCCTCTAACACTTTCTTTTTCTCTTCCTTCCTCTACCTCTTCATACGTTTCTTCCTCTACTTCTTTTTTTCTCCTCTTCTTCCTGCTGTCCTTCTCATCTTCATTGCCTTCGAAAAGCAGGTTTTGGGATGACAACCATAGTCGAAAGGTTTAAAAGAGATCTGATTACTCTATGACTCTATGCATATAAAGCTTATTGAGATCTGTATGCCCAGGGGCAAGTGGAATTCAACAAGAACAAAGCAGATTGCTGAGAGCAGCAAATCCTAATCAAGTCACAGCATGGAGAAGACAGATCATGCCAAGAGAACCAGGTAGGTTTGAACCTCATTTTTAGTGCTTCAGCACCCCGACTTTGTCAGATTGCCTTGTTGGATTTAGAGAGGCTCATCACTGAAATTCAGTTTGATGCCCAATGTCTTTGGGGCAAGACAGTACCAATTTCTTGTCTATAATGCTTCTAATTTGGGGTTTTTATAAAATTACATTTACTTGGCTGGTTATTGTGTGTGCCACAATGAATGTGGTGGAAGTCAGAGGACACCCTGCAAGAGTTGCTTTTCTCCTTCTATCATGTGAGTCCTGAGGAGGAAACTTGATGCATCGGGGCCTTTACTCACTAGAACATCTTGCTGGTCCCTTGGCGTTTTTAAGGTTAAACTGTATCTTTGGCTTGTCTGCAATACTTGCAGAGTTTGGAAGAACACACTAACCTAGAAAATCCATTCTTGCCCCAACTCTGACCCAAAGCTTCACATCTGCTACTTCCTGTTACTCAGTGACATTGATGCTGTGATTATGGAAAACTGTTAATAGACAAAGAGAAAGAGCAGGATCTTATCGCTAACTTGTTTGGCGACTTAATGCCTTTGAGTCTCATTTTTATCAGCTGTTAAAGAAATAACAGATAACGGGTCTCCAAAACTGTGAGTCGGACTTTTAGTACTTTTGCTTGCACAGTTAACTAGGAAGGAAGACGCAGATGTTGTCCTCTGTTTACATCAAGGCCATTGAGAATACAAAGCACTTGAGCAGTTTGCCTCGTGTCCCATGGCAAGAGGTGTAGCTAGGATTTAAATATGAGTCATTTTTCTCTGCAACCTTGATCACTACACTGTAAAAATGGATTAAATACTTTCTCTGGTCACTCTCAACTCTAAAGTTGTATATGATTTAAATAAAACATAGAAAATATATTAAGCTCTTGGTGGTCTGTAGTTCTGTCTTTGAAGTGGAAAGACAAGGCTGGATGTGAGGGTCACAGGCAGAACCTAGGGTGGGAGTGCTTCCCCAGTCTGGCCACAGCCACCTGGAGACCAGCATCAGTGGGTTCTACCTTCTCATGAGAGCTTGGCCACAGGTTCACTATTGGTATTAGTGCCTCATCATAGTGGACTCTGGAGACTGACACTGATTTAAACCAATTAATGGCAGGTCCTGCCCTCACTGCTGACCCAGAAATCACGGCTTTTGTTTGAAAAACTGGGTAATCAAAAGTTTGGTTCTTGTCAGGCTATGGTGACACACACCTATAGTTCCACCACTTGGGAGACAGAGGCAGGCAGATCTCAGTGAGTTCGAGGCCAGCCTGGTCTACAAAGCAAGTATCAAGACAGCAAGAACTGTTACACAGAGAAACCGTGTTTCACAAAAAATGAAAACAAAAACAAAAAGAAAGTTTGGGTTTTAATTTTGTTAGTAAAATTGTACTCTTTTTCAAAGACCTGCTAATGCTCTCAAGCTTTAGGCACTCCAACCTCAAAGCTCATCTTGTCCTAACACATTTTCTTTTGTCTTTTAGAATATATATATATATATGCTGGTCACGGTGGTGTACATCTTTAATCCCAGCACTAGCCTGGACTACATAGAGAGTTCTAGGACAGCCAGGGCTACATAGACCCTGTCTCAAAAAGCCAAATAAATAAATAAAATTTAAAGATATGCTAGACCCAGTTAATTCTTTTAGAATTTTCTACAGCCCCCCAAAATTAGCATAAAAACTTATCCCTTTGTTCTCTAGCTCTTTAACCCATAGAAGGACCCAAAGAGGGTTCTCATTGCTGGATGAAAGAGCTTTAGGACTTTTCAGGGTGCTGTGTGCCCATGAAAGTTCTTCTGCTCAGGGCCCATCTAGTCTCTGTGAGCTTGGTGTAGATAGGGTTGGTGAGTGTGAATACAGCTTCGAGAACAAATGTCCTTTCTCAAAGGGAAAAACCTTGATCTAACAATGATTTAAATGCTCATATACAAGTTAAGAAGTGTTTCCTGTATGGGAATGTAGCTCAGTAGTAGAGAATTTGTCCCACATATTTAAGGTCCTAGGTTCAATATCTGACAATTCCCAATATAATTTTTTTCTTTAAAAAGTATCTTTATCCCAAAGTATCTTTTCACCCATGACCATATATTAAATGTCTCACTTTATGCATGTTCTCAGTTATTTTATTATAAAGTAAAAAGTCTCCTATGAGAACAGAGTATCCAAAAATATCTCAATCTGTTTTTTGTTTGTGTTCATTTTTTACTTTTTATTAAGATTAAATGTCAAAACATAAACTTAGAAGAGAAAATGTTTGACTGGGGGCCTGAAGAGACGGCTCAGCAGCTAAGGGCACTTATTACTCTCTTCTGGAAGCCAGTGTAGCTGTCAGGACCCAGATGATGCCCAGAGCCTTTAACTCCAGTTCCAGTAGTTCTGATGCCCTCTTCTGGCTGCTGTAGGGACAGCATGCATGTGGCACACATACATGTAGGAAAAACACTCATTTATATCAAAATCTCGATTCTTTTCAATCCATGGCCCTTGAGCCCTGCTGTGTTGGTCCTGTAGAAAAGTGGACACACCAGGGAATGCAGCAGAGCGAAGGTGCTTAGCTAAAGACCCTCAGGAGGGAGGAAGGGGAGAGGTAAACCGCTGAGAATGAGGGCAAGCCAAAACTCCAAGATCTCCAGTGAAGCACCCCTAGTCACCTCACTTCCTTCCACCAGACCCCACTTCTCCAGGGCTCCTCCACCTCCCAACAACACCATCAGTTAGGGATTGGTCCTTAAATACATGACTTTTGGGGGACACTCACAGTCCAAACTGTAGTATTGATACTTTTTAGAAAGACAAAACAGACATAAAAATCAGTATCACGTGGCTTGTTTTTTCTCATTTGGGAAGCTTACGTATCTTTGTAAGAAATTTAAGGATCAATTTGGAATCTTTTCAAGAGAGGTTTAAATTGTGGAAAGTACTAATATATCCACACAGAATGGCTTTTTAAAATAGAACTTTCTCCAAGATTAGTCGCTTTAATGCTGCATCTTGATATACAATTTCTAGTGACATTATGCACAGATTCAAAAGTATTGTTTATCAAGCACTTAAATAAAGAGTAAAATTTTGTGTTGTGGAAAATTTGTAGATGATTTAAGAAGTGTGTCTTGGTGGTAATGGAGACACAGAGAAACCTGTGAACTGTTTTAATAAAACTTCCTCCTCAACTGTGAAAGAAGGGCATGTCTGAATTGTTACAGCACTTTAATTGGACATACAAAACACATAGACACTTATCATTCCATCTATGTCCCTATGAATTAAAATCATAAACCATAGACCATTTAAACTTTTGGGTCCTTGCTTCATGGAAAAAGAAAGGCAATTGTTTCATATTTGAACACATACACTGTGTAGGTAAATGAGAATCATCGTTAAAACACACCTAATTCAATTTTGAACTCTCATCCGATATCATTCTGTAATGCTAAATATATTTGAATTTTCTTTCTAGGAATGAAAAGATTCTGAACTGCTTGTTTCAAAAGCCCAATGCAGTTTTTAAGCTGATTTGCTTTCCCTGGGCAGGAGGCGGCTCCATTTATTTTGCCAAGTGGGGTGAAACAGTTAATGACTTACTGGAAGGTACGTTGACTTTCATCCTAACCTAAGTAATTTAAGAAGCCCAGAAACAGCCAGGTAAAGAAACTTGAGTTCATTAAGCTTCCTGGATTTGTGGATTTCTAACCTTTATTAAACTGGAAAATTTTTTCAATCATTATTTCTTTAAAATAGAGTTTTTGCCTGTCTTCTTCCCATTTTTTCTTTGTTTATATTATGGAATATTGCGCCACAGGTCACTAATGCTCGTCAGTGTCTTCGGCTACCTCTCCATGTGCTTTCGTCGACATCGTTGATCCAACTGCTTAGGGTTCTTGTCGGTGGACTTTATCTTGCAGCATCGTGAAACACATCTCAGTGACTTCCAGTTATATTTTTCCTCCCGTGATTTCTCTCTAAAACGCTAATGTCACTTTGCTTCTTTAAAATTAGTCTATATTGAATCACACAAAGGGGCTCCACTGCAGTGTTTCCTTCATGGGACGATGCTCTTAGATCATTTCCCACCCCTTCTCGTTCTCCGTCCTCCTCTCCCTTTTCCCTTCCACATCCCTTATAGCTCCCATTTGCTCTTGTGGGTGGTTTCCCTCTTACATCCCAGTTAGCAGAAGAAGCTTAGGATATGGTTTTTGCTTAACACGTTAAAATGAAGCGCTTCTGCACATCAGAGCTTCATCTCAGCCCAGGTTTGTCATTTATAGAATAGACGGAGCTGGAGAGACTTACTTTCTTTGAAGTGCAGAAGCAATTCATTTTAATGTAATTCCATTCGTCACATTCCCTGTTATTCACTGAGGTTTTAGAGTTGCATCAAGAACATTATGTTTAGAAGCTGTGTGTGGTGGTGCACACCTTTAATCCCAGAACTTGGGAGGCAGAGTCAAACCTCTGTGAGTTCCAGGACAGTCAGAGCTACATAATAGAGAGGCTACAATTAAAAAAATATATAAAAGGGAAAGAAAGAAAGAAAGAAAGAAAGGAAGGAAGGAAGGAAGGAAGAAAGAAGGAAAGAGAGAAAGAAAGAAAAAAAGGTATATTTTAAAAAAGCAAAGTTGCACTGCCTGAGCCTACGTCTTGAAATGTCTCTATAGTTTCTCAGGAGAGGTCTGTTTGTGTGCTGAAGTTCTTAGAAGTTCTGATCATGGCTGTTTACTTTTTGAATTTTCTGAATGAGATAACCCCCCACTCTCCAGTCACCAATATTCCTTCGCTACTTGATTTTGTTCATCGATGACGCTTTCTAATGAGGGTTTTTTGTTTATTTGTTTTATTTATTTATTTGTTTTTTCTTTTCAGTTCCAAAACTCCACATACATAGAGTTCCAACATTGTTGCCAAATTGTCTGTACAAGTTCCTGACTTTCTCTTCCGGGTCAGTGTTCCTTTGAACTGTCTTCCTTGCGCCATTCATCTGTTTATGGACATCTTTGAGATCATTTTTCTGCAGTAGACTTTGAAGTATCTGTCTATCATGCTGTCTTAGTCAGGGTTTCTATGGCTGTGAAGAGACACCATGACCACAGCAACTCTTATAAAGGCAAACATTTAATTGGGGCTGGCTTACCGTTCAGAGGTTTAGTCTGCTATCATCATGGCGTGGAACATGGTGTCACCCAGACAGACATGGTGCTAGAGAAGGAGCTGAGAGTTCTACATCTTAACCTGCAGGCACAGGAAGTGGACTGTGTACTGGGCATCGTTGTAACTTAAAAAAGTTGTACTCCAGAGAAAGACGTCACATGGCAGGGTTCAAGCACAGGTTTTATTATTATTACTATTATTACTATTATTATTATTATTATTGAAAAGGATTTTAAAATGGGGAAAGGGAAGGAGGGAGACCAGGCTCCTGAGACAGGAGCAGCAGGAGAGAGGAGAAAGAAAAGAAGGGGAGAGAGAGGAAAGAGGGGTAGGGGGAACAGACAGAGAGGGAGAGAAAGAGGGAAGGATGGGAGATGGGCAGGACCCTTTTAAAAGGGAACACAGTGAATATGCACAGGTGGTGCTCTTAGTGGCTACAGCTGAGGACTTATCCTGTCAGAACCCCAAGGACGGGCCAGTACAGATGTTAAAAGGCTTGCTTGAGCATATAGAAGACCTCAAAGCCTGTTTCCACATGACACACCTCCTCCAACAAGGTCACACTGCCTAATAGTGCCACTTCTTATGGGTCAAGCATTCAAACACACGGGTCTATGGGGGTCATTCCTATTCAAGCTACCACACATTCCAACTATTTAATATATTTTGATTTAATTACAGATGGGTTATGAGCTCTTTAAAGACTCGGATTGCCTTGCCTTTCATAGTTATTCCATTTCTACATTGCAACTGGGCATCTTTTGGTATGTGTATTACTTTCAATGTTAGGTCTCGGTTCTCACTGCCATTCATAGGGAAAGATGCAGATCTTAATAACGCCAATTGAGAAGCAAACTACATATCTAAATGTGTAGGAAAAAACTGAAGACATCAACTACATGCTCAATAAGCAACTAGGGAAATGGAGTAAGAATGATTTTCAGATGAACTGGAAGTTTAGAATTAGTAAAGGTAAGCATTAATAATTAAATTAAAAGAGAAATGGAGATAGGGAAAAGAAACAAAAAGAATCAAGACAGGAAAGATTATAAATTGAAGGTATAAGAAATAACAGTGAAGCCGGGCGGTGGTGGCGCACGCCTTTAATCCCAGCACTCGGGAGGCAGAGGCAGGCGGATCTCTGTGAGTTCGAGGCTGGGCTGGACCGATAGCCTCCAAAACAATACAGAGAAACCCTGTCTCATAAAAACCAAAAAAAAAAAAAAAAAAAAGAAATAACAATGAGGGTTCTGGAGAGATCCTGAGTTCATTTCCCAGCAGCCACATGGTGCCTTACAACCATTTAAACAGGATCTGATGCCCTCTTCTGGCATGCAAGTATACCTTCAGAGTGCTTATACATAAAATATAAATAAATAAAAATTTTTAAAAGTAAAAAAAGACATTTCTGAATTTGAAGAAATAGCAGTGAAGGGAAAACAGAAGAAAACCAATGCAGAGCAAGAAAAAACAATAGTACTCTTTTGCTGAAAAGAGTGTGGATGCTATATGCTCTCCCCCACCAACATTTCTTTGAAGTTAAGTTGATATAGGAGACACATACGTTAGACCCAAAGGACTGTCGCAGGTTGTACTCCACCCTACTGTCTGAGTTCTCCATGTTTAGTCCAACAGAGCTCCCAGGGGAGTATCACTTGCCAACATGGAGGACCAATTATTGGAGTTTTGCCTGACAACATCAGCACTCGGCCTTTTTTATGGGCGTGGGAATGGAAAATGCTCAAGCAGGGTGTTTCTACCAGTAGCCTCTGGGGCTCTGAAGATTGGAAGCCATCAAGCTGAATCAGTGTCTAGGCATTTACATCGTGGCCATGCTATTCTCAGTTCCAACCCTTGATCCACGCATGTATGCACAATTAGACTTGTCCCTCTTCCCACCTCTAAGCACCTTCCACTCTCCTCTTTGCTGGACCCACACTTCCCAAAGTAGACAGTGTCTACAAGTCAGCGTGTAAGCCACAACCGGTCTCCCGATTGTGGGGTGGTCACCCACTTAGCTAGTGGAGAAGTGTGGCTTTTGGAACTGGGGAGGTATAAATACCCCAGGCCTCCTGCTGAAGTATTTGCTGGGTAGACTTCTATGATGTTCTTCATTGTTGGTTGGGTCAATGAGCATGCTGGAGGCACAGGGAACCTTCGCAGCTCCTGTTGCACAGGCAGCAGGTTTACGGAGGTCCAGACTGTGGACCCATGCAGCATTCCTCTTCTTATTTGTTAGTACCCAACTGGGGAGGTGTCTCTCCTTCCCTACCATACTGTGTGAGGTTAGAGTCCTCTGTTGATTGCACAGCTCTAAAGTTTCTAGGGCTCACCTAGTCTGTCTGTATTGTTGACTATTGTACTCCTCTGTGGTTCCATGAGACCCATCCCTCCCTATAGCTATGCACTTTCTGTTTTCTTTCAGACTTGCAGAGATTTGGGTGTTTTCTGAGAATCTGCCATCTTCCCTCTTTGTAAATTCCTTTATCTTTTGTTGCTGTCTCACTATGTAGCCTTGGCTGGCCTATGTAGACCAGGTTGGCTTCAAACTTACTGGAATTCATCTGAATTCACCAAACCTGGTTGTTATCGCTATCATCTCAATATTTTGACATATTTAGTGTAGTCAATGATTTAAAAGGAAGGCAAGTGGGTTGTATGCTCTTGTTGCAATCTTGACGTTTTAATTTACACCGTTTATGATGCTGTGTTGCAATTTTGTACTCTGTAAGAGCGCCAATACTTCTGGCTTTTTGGTTTCTTAAACGTAGGTGTCAGGAACTGGACAAATTGCTGAGTTAGAGTGCTTGCCTTGCAAGCACAAGGATCTGAGTTTTACTCCCAGAATATAGCACACACACACACACACACACACACACACACGCACGCATGCACGCACGCACACACACACGCACACACGCACACACACGCGCGCGCACACGCACGCACGCACACACGCACACACACACGCACACACACACGTTTAAAACATAGACTTCAGCCAAGACTCAGAATTCTTCACCATACAATCACTGACACAGTGCTAATACAGGAGGGAACTGGAAAAACTCAGCTCCTTCATTACAGAATTCTCTCCTTTGTGGGAAAGCCCTTGTTTCTTCATCAGTTGTCTGATGCCTGCAAACGGCTTCACAATTCATACCTTTGCTTCTGTTCTTTAAATAAGTGTTGATATACTACAAAGTACTTCTTTTCAAGTGATTTATATTTTAAGTTTTCATGCAAGTCTATTTTGTATGTCATGCATATCCCCTTCATATCCTCTACCCTTGTTTTTCTCCCCTGTTAACACCTTTGTCCCAGTAGTTAATTTTACTGCTGTTTCCATGCCGTAGATATATGTATGATCTAGATACATGTATTATTTTTATAGCTACATAAACCAAAGAAGCACAAATGGGAGAAAACATACAATATTTGTCTTTCTGAGACCAGCTAAATTCACTTAACACGATTATTCCCAGTTGTATCTGTAACTGGTATTTCTCTCCTGCCTGCCAGTTCCCAAATAACCTCTCTGGTGCTTAATATCAACTACAAAGTGTTTGACCTATTAGCTCAGGCTTGTTATTAACTAGCTCTTACAACGTAAATTAACCCATTTCTATTATTCTATATTTTACCACGAGGCTTCCCCAATGCTGCTGGCATCTCTCTAACTCCACTCTTTTTCTCCCTGTATCTCTCCTTGGGTTTCCCACCTGGCTCTATTCTGCCTGGCTATTGGCCAAATCAACACCATTTGCAACAGAAAAATTGTAGAACCATCCTAGGTGTTCACCAGCAGAGGAATGAATAATGAAATGTGGTCTATACGTACAGTAGGAACATTTTCCATAAAGCATGAAGTCATATTGTTTGTGGGAAAATAGATGCATGATGTGGGATTTCTCTCTGTATGCTGTAAATATGTTTTATGATTAATAAAGAAGCTGAGGCCAACCTGGTCTACAGTGGGAGTTCCAGAATAGTCAGGACTGTTACACAGAGAAACCCTGTGTCAAAAACCAAAACCAAAACCAAAACCAAACAAACAAACAAAAAAATCTTAGTGGCTTGTGACTTTTCCTGGAGAGATGTAAACAAATGTCTGTTTGTTCCAGATAGGGCACTAATGTCAGACTAAATAACAAATTCCACCCAAGCATAACTTAATGAGCTAATGAGTTTTGGGAGGGTTACTTACAGGAGGGAGTGAGAGGTTACTTTCCAGAACATACCTAACACGTTACCAAAACATTTATCCCAGCATGAATGATGAAAGCTGCTACTCTGAAGCTCTGTGTGTGGCTCCCAGGTAACTCTGTTGGTTTAAAAATCTCTTCTCTCCAACAATAGTGACTGTTCACATAAGCTCTGTGAAGGGCCTTCTGAGTCTTTCGAGTCTTTTGAGACTTGTGAATTGCTGACCTCTTTAACCACGAAAGTCCTATTGATATCCTTAGACTTAAGGATACCCTCTCCAGGATGAACATTTCAATTTAGAGGCAATTTCTATATAACAAGTATCATTTAGAACCGCTAAGAGTCCATTTCAGTATTGTTTGATGTGTCTGTTTCCAAGTGGTACCTTGTCATATATTACAATGCAACCCAGGATTTTTTCTTGTTTCCATCTGTATCTTTATATAAACTTTGTGTTCTATTTTGCTTCCTGTTGTGGTGATAAACACAATAACCAAAAACAACATGGGGAGCAAAGGGTTTGTTTTAGCTCACAGGACTGTATAGTCTGTCACCAAGAGAAGCCAAGGCAGGCGCTTGAGGCTGAGACCTAGGGAGCAAAGCTGCTCACTGGCTGTTCCCAGGACAATTTAGCCACCTTTCCTATACGGCCTAGGTTCTCCTGCCTAGAAATGGTACTGTCCAGATCGGGCTGGGCCATTCTACATTAACTAGCAATCAAGAAAATGCCCCCCACGCACACCTATGAGCCAGTAGGAGGAAAGCAATTCCTCAGTTAAGGATCCCTCTTTCCAAATGGGTAAAGTTGAGGACCTAAATTAGCTACTACACCTCCATTTATGTTTTGGTTGATCTTTCTCAGCCCTTTCTGAATCACTTTGTGTCAAGTGAGACTCTTCTGTTACAACACAGAACTTGGTTTTGTCGTGTGCCACCATCTAAAAGTCTTTTCTCAAAACTATAACCCTGCAAACAAATGAAAACTGAGAACAGAGCAGGATCCCCTGTTGCATATGCTGCTTAGACCAGTCAAGTCCCTGTGCCTGTAGAACCGTTCTCACACTGGGCATAGGTTACTGCTGTCTGTACATTCCTTGAGATCCTTGAAAGGCTTGCTTTAACCCTTCTCCAGCTCCAAATTTGTCAGTAAAAGTCAAACCCTGCCCTGATTGGCTGTCTCTTATAAACGATGTACTAATTTGTGTGAGGCTTTAAAGGTTTCTGTCTTTAAATGCTAACAGGTGCTGTGTGTGTGTGTGTGTGTGTGTGTGTGTGTGTGTGTGTGTGTGTGTGTGTGTGTGTGTATGGAGGCCAGAAGTCCACCTTTGGGTTATTCTTTAGAAGCTGTCCCCATGTTTTTGAGAGCGTCTCTCTGGGACCCGGGGCTCACAGATTATGCTGGACAAGTAGACAGCAAGTCCCATGGATCCTCACTTCCTGCCTCCCTGGCACAGCACATCAAGCAGTTTACTAACTGAGCTATATTCCTAACCCTTAGAGCTAACATTTTAACTTATCTGTCATGAGTCAGCTTTCTCCATCACTAGAAACATGAATTTTAGATGAGAGGCAATCAGTGACTAAGACTCTTTTGTTTTCAGAATTTTAATATTTTCTTGGGGGGGGAGTGCACCCGCTGCAGAGCTAGTGTGGAGGTCAGAGGACAACTCTCAAGACTCCGTTCTCTCCTGTCATATGGGTCCTGGGGTCCAGCTCAAGCATTAGGCAGGAGTTGCCTTTACACTCTGAGCCATCTGGAGGATCCCAGTGTTCTTTCACTCTGAAGTTCCCCATCTTATTTCAGGGACGTTTCACATGGTTTCTTATGATATGAATTTTTCTGACTTTCACGATTGCTTTTTTTTTCAATCTTCTTTAAGATTTCTTTTTATTTGTGGGTGTCTGTGTGTCATGTATGTGAGGTACCCATGGAGACCTGAAGAGGCTGTTGGGTCCCCTAGGGCTGGAGTTACAAACCGTTATGAGTCACTGTGTGGGTGCTAGACTCCTCTGGAAGAGCAGCAATGCTCTTAACCGCGGAGCTGTCTCTCCAGCCCCTTTGCAACGGGCTTCTTCTTTTCTCTTCTTTAATTCTTGTTCTCTATATCCACAAATGCGTTGCCCTGTCTTATCACAAGGAAAATATTTTTTTCAGTTTTGAAATAACTTTTGTCTTTTTATTCAATTTCTTTCTTTGGACAATTATTTGTTTCTAGTCAGAATTTTAAATTTCCAAATTACAGTAATTATTTTCCCATTACTTGTTGGCATTAATTCACTTTGGGACATGGTTTTTTTCTCCTCCATGAGTTCCTTAACAAATATTTTTACTGGTCTGATTTACCCTTTCTGTATACTGTGTTAGGTTTTTCCTCCTAAGCAACAGCGGTGGGGATGGGGCGGTTCGTTGCCAGCTCCGTTTTTTAGTCCACTAGTGCTCTCTTGTGTTGATACTGTGAAGTGCAGCTCATAGGAAACATTGACACCCTGTTTGTCTGGTTCTGTAATTTGATATTTTCATGTTTCTGTAGAATTTTAGTTCCATCTCCTCCTTTCTTCAAACATTTTCCCTTTATAAGGTGTCTTCTTAGAACTGTCTTCCCAACTTTCCTCTGTTCCCTCAAGAATTTCAAATCCTTCTGAGCAGTGGTGGCACACACACCTTTGATCCCAGAACTCGGGAGGCAGAGGCAGGTGGATCTCTGTAAGTTCGAGGTCAGCCTGGTCTACAGAGTGAGTTCCTGGATAGCCAGGACTACACAGAGAAACCCTGTCTCCAAAACACACACACACACACACACACACACACACACACACACACACACACCTCTGAATCCTTTTCTTCTGACTACATCCGTACTTACCTCAGCTCTCAAACTGTTCCTTCACTGAAAGATGAAAGCTCCATGATTCATGCAGGAATGGATTTTTAATGACATCATTGTAAATACTCTTGTCTATCTGATATGGAGCCTGTTTGGTTTGCTTTCTGTTTCTGTGATATAGACCATGACTTGGATCAGAAACGGTTTGTATTCCCCAGTCACAGTCCATTGTTGAGCAAAATCAGGGCAGGAACTCAACCAGGAATAAGTCCATCAGAAGTGTCTCTTAGTGGACCCCAGATCCAATCAAGTGACAATCAAGTTGACCTCACAGCCACCATACCCAGTTTACCATTATTTTGACTTTTATTATTTGCTTCTTTGAAATTGGCTGTATCATGTAGATATAAGGCCTTTTACAATGCTGCAGTGTCTAGCTCATCTGTGTTAACTTGTTCACAGCATTGCAGGATCTTCTTTGTCTGTGTGTCTAAGTGACTTGCCTCTTAACTTCCAGTGCATGCTGTAAGGCTGGCTGGCAGGGAAACTCGACTTCAAGAACAGTTTGCAACCGACATCTATGAAATAGTTGATGAAATTGTAACTGCTCTGCTTCCCATTATCCAAGACAAACAGTTTGCATTTTTTGGCCACAGGTATTTAAACTTTGATATACTCAGCACATGTGGGACTTGGGATGGGTGTTCCCAATAGAGCACTCACCTACTCACGGCCCTAGAGAGGTCCTTCAACCACAAGTGTATGTGTGTGCTTTGTGTTTTTCGAGATGCAAATTCCTCTCCTGGTTCAACAGAATGTTGGGTAATTATCTCCAATCACAACTTTTGCAGTTCTCTAGTTTGTGTAGGAATTATACCCAAAATGAAGACTATCATAAACTTCTATTTTTCAAATTAAAAAATACAGAAATTGTATTTATTTCCCAAGGGCATAGACCTCTTCGAAGTTATGTGTCCATGATCTTGGGCAAATTTCTTAGCTTCTAAATTAGTTTCCGTGAAGCTGGAAGTAGTTCCTATCTATGGGGATTCAATGACTCGAGATCACGAGGCTGGAGAGATGGCTCAGTGGTTAACAGTGCATACTGCTTTTGGGACCTGAGTTTGGTCCCCACCACTCCCATATGGCAACTCACAACTGCCTGTAACTCCTGCTCCTAGGGATCAGATGCCTCTGGTCTCCATAGGCGCCTGCACTTATGTGAGCATACCCCCACACAGATGAACGCACGCGCGCGCGTACACACACACACACACACACACACACACACACTGAAAAACATTTGTAAATGAATAGCGATCATAGAGAACTGGATGTGAGCTGGGCTGTGGTGGCGCATGCCTTTAGTCCCAGCACTCGGGAGGCAGAGGCAGGTGGATCTCTGTGAGTTCGAGACCAGCCTGGTCTACAGAGAGAGTTCCAGGACAGTCTCCAAAGCCACAGAGAAACCCTGTCTCGAAAAGTCAAACAACAACAACAAAAAGAACTGGGTGTGTGGACGTGCAAGCGAGGCGCCTGTGCCGTGGTGTGGCTGTGGAGGTCAGGGGCCAGCCTTCAGACGTCATTTCTTTCCTTCCACTATGGGATCCAGAGGTCAAACTCGGCCACACAAGTGCCGCTATCTGCTGAGCCATCTCACTGGCCCCACAGAGAACATGTTAACATTATTCCTAAAAATAGTTATGACATCGTAGGGCATTGAACAGTGTCTGCAGGTTGCTATTGCTGTGGTGAAACACCATAACCAAAGCAACTTGGAGAGGAGAGGGCTTATTGGGTTTACACTTCCACACTGTAGTCCATCACTGAAGGAAGCCAGGACAGGAACTCAAACAGGGCAGGAACCTGGAGACTGGAGCTGATGCAGAAGCCATGGAGGATGCTGCTTACTGGATTCATCCCAGGGCTTGCTCAGCCTGATTTCTTACAGAACCCAGGACCACCAGTCCAGAGAAGGCACCGCCCACAGTGAGCTAGGCCCTCCCCTATTCACCACTAATTAAGAACATGTCTTCATAAGGTCTGTTCTCAATTGAGGGCCCCTCCTCTCAGATGACATCAGCTTGTATCAGGTTGGCATAAAACTAGCCAGCACACATGGGGTCTTGGAAATCCCTAGTTGCACCCGGAGCATACTTTGAGAACTGTTGATACTTACGAAGAACAAAGTAACATGCAGCTTTAGTGGAGAAAAAGAAATGAATTTTCAGTGTTCCTTGTGTTACTCAGCTGTCCACTGTGTACCAAATACCTGACAATCAGCTTAGAGAGGACAGGCTTCCCACCTCCCTGTGTGCGTACATTCATGTGTGCGAGTGTATGGGTGTATGTGCCTGGACTACATGGGAAAGTCGGGGGGTGACCTCAAGTGTTGGAAGTAGGGGGATGACCTCGAGTGTTGGTCCTTACTGTCTATTGTCTATCTTTTGTTTGAGATAGGGTCTCTCAGTGGCCTGAGATTTCAGGCTGAGCAGCTGAACTGAGCTTTTTCCGTTGGTTCTGGGGATCAGAACTTGGGCCGTCACATATGCGAGGCCAGTGCTTTACTGACAGAGCCATGCCTCAGTCCTGACACCCTTATGCTGCCATTCATCAGCAGTAATACACTTTTTACACACCAGTCATCAGCCACTTAGCTTTTGCCCATCCCTCAGTCACTGCTTGTTCATGTCACCTGGTTAACATATGTTTCGCCCAGCACTGTCTGCCATGTTTGTCTCTTCCCTGGTTTAGTTTAGGATCCTACATTGCTTTTCTGACTGCACTGAGCCTAAAGGAGAAACACAAAATGGAGCCACTGCATTTCTTTGTGTCTAGTGCAAGCGCCCCGCATGTAAGTGTTCTGGTTTTCTTTGGATGGGAGAATGAAGATGAGGGAAATGGTGTGCTAACGATCGGGTCGTAGTTCTCCTTTGGTCCAACCTGGGCTAGCAGGGATACCGTGTGGGAACTATTGAACACCCCTGTGATCTTTCAACGTATTTCTCTCCAACCCTACAAAACGAACTTCAGCTTCTTCCTGAATAAAGTCTCATTGTTTCTGCCCCTCTGAGCTACTGCTGTCCCTCCACGCTTTCTGCCCTCGGCATGCTACCTCACTTCGGAACTTACCAACATTCAGGAGAGGAACCGATCAGTGCTGGGAAAGAATCTTAAAATGATGCCAAACTTTTGGACCAGCTATGGCTTTTTCAGCTAGTCTGGTGACTCTTGGCTTCTTGCCAGTTTGACCGTCTTTGCTTTCTCTGTACAGACTGGGGCTGGCCTAGCATTCTAAATTGGGACGGCCATTTTGGTGGCACTCTGATGATGATGTTCCTATGGCACTTTCTTCTCCCCCTTGATTTAAGCAGATGGGCTTGAGTCTGGGGCTAGTGTGTTTCATGAATGATCAGCCTTATGTTGTTCATGTTTTAAGTCAAAATTCCAGCTTCAAATCCCTGAACTTAACAAATTGTCAGAAGACCAAATCAGACACTACCTTCTGCATTTTGGAGGCACCCCCAAGCATCTCATTGATGACCAGGAATTTCTGAATCATTGCACTCCCATTCTGAAGGCAGATGTTGGCATTGTGAAGAGCTTTGTGTAAGTAACTGTGTGTGTGTGTGTGTGTGTGTGTGTTGATATTTATAGAAACACATAAGCCAGGTGGTGATGTTGCACATCTTTGATGCCAGTACTCAGCATTTGGGGACAGGTGATCTCTGTGAGTTTGAGGCCAGCCTGGCCTACATAGTGAGTTCCAGGACCAACAGGGCTACACAGTAAAGCCCTGTCTTGAAACCCCATACCAAAAGAAAAGGAAAAAGAAAACTAAAGATGGGCGGGCAGTCACAGAGGCTGTGTATATGAGAATCCAATATTCTAAAGGTTATAATGTATTTGTTTCCTCTGAGGCCCAAAACACTGGAACTATGCAGGAAGCAAGACAGACAAGCTCGGATATGGTGGCTACAGTTGGTAATAAGGGTCACTAAGAGGCAGTATTTTAAAGTGTTCTTGTCACAAAAAGATCAGTTTGTGTACAGCTGTCTTTATTTAGCAATTTTTGTCAGTTCAAGCAATAATGAATTCATTGGGATGACAAGGGGCTGCCAGGAGCAGGGACATGTGAGACAACTCTGTAGCATCCACTTTTCCTTATAATCTGAGAATTCTTTTAAAAATTTGTTAATTAAAAACTAAGCTTTGAGAATTGAAACAGCATAGTGTTGGCATAATAAGAGACATACCAATGAGTGTATAGAATTAGAGAGCTCACAAATAAATTCACATATTTATGCTAAATAGCAAAATGGCAAGGATATACTAAGGGGAAAAGGACATTTTATTAATTTATTTAGGGTGTAGGAGGTGAGTGTATGTGCTTGCTAAAGTTTACATGTGGAGCTCGGGTGACAACTTTTGGAAACTGGTTCTTCCTTCCACTATGTGGGTCCCAGAAATTGAACTCTGGTAACAAAGCTTGGTGTAAGCGTCTCTGGCCACTGACCCATCTTTAATCTAGGACAGTCTCTAATTCATGGGGTTGTGAGGGTGAAATTAAATCATGCTTAGGTGTAGCTCAGTTCTTAGCCAAAGCCACTTTGAAGATCTATGTGTACGAGTGTTTTGCCTGTGTGCATGTATGTGGCATGTAGTGCCCAAGGAAACCAGAAGAAGGCATTGGATGCACTGAAAGTGAATTTACAGACAAGTTCCCAGATACCATGCGGTGCTCGAAGCAAACCCTGGGTCCTCCCCGAGAATGCTCTTAACTGCTGAGCTATCTCCACAGCCACACAAGCCACTTTGAGAAGGAGAACATAACAAACCTCGCCCACATGGATTTCTTCACTCCCCGTAGCCGCAGTATCACAAACATAAAGTCACACAGGAACGTTCCACTCAGCGTGAAATACCGACGCCCCCTTGACATTCACAGCTCTTCCTCAGCGAATCAAACTGTGGGCTACTCACCACAGTTAGCTTCCTCCAGATTGGAAAGGCTAGCTCTAACCTACTCCCTTCTTTCCTCTTCCCAAATATGCCCTGCCCTTAACACTCCTAAACTCTCAGTTTCTTAAAATTTATAAAACTAGGCTCACAGAGCATCTCTCAGACCTCTCCCATTACCTATCACCAAGGTTCAGACCATTAACCCAAACAGAGACCAAAACCTATGACCCCTCCCAACTCTCAGTCTCCTTCCTGGACCCCGGGGTTGTTTTAGCTCCCCTTCTACCGCCTGATCCCACACATATCAACCTGTTTGCTATTTGATTGCTTCTAGATGTGTCCCACATCTCTTAGGCATCCTGTCTTCTCTTTGTAAGATCTCCCACCTTGGATCACGTCTAATGACCATTTTCAAGTTCACCAATTCTTTCTCCTGCTGTGTCAAGTCTACTACTGACAAGGCTGCCAAATGAATTATCCTTTTCTCTATCTATTTCTAAAAATTACATTCAACTCTAGCACTTGGTTCATGATTGAAAAATAGTCCTGGCCACATGGACCTCAGTTCCGATGGAGAGAGGTGATCCCTGTGAACATCTTCCTTGTTGGGACTAGTGGGAGAAGGGTGAGAAGCAGGGAATCCCGTTTCATTTCAGGGAGATCGGGAAGAGGAAAAGACTCTGGGGTGTTAAGGATGAAAATTACAAACGAACTCTTTGATGTTACAGCTTTGACCCACCCTCAGAAGCGCCCCTTTCCCAGGACATAACATGCTTTATTGGATCTGACGACATAATAAAGGACACAGAAGGTGAAGTTTGCTTTTTATAATTTGGGGTATTTTGTTGAAATGTGTGGGATGGTTCTCAGCAAATGTCAACTAGTAGTCACTGAAACAAAAAATCAGCCCAAGTTTTATTGGGTGTAAACAAAGAGATTTGGTCTCTTGTAAAATTTAAAATACAGGTCACATCATGTAAACAAAGAGATTTGGTCTCTTGTAAAATTTAAAATATAGGTCACATCACAGGATACCCAGAAACCTGAGACCTTGGATGTAACTCTATCATTGAGTGTCAGCTTTTAGTGAAATCGTACCTGGAAGTAAGTCTTCTGTTGTCATTGGCTGATGCCATTTACTAGTAAATAAAAGTGTTATGTTTCTTAGGATGGAAAGACGTAACCAGTGGGAAGCTTGACATCCACATGCTGCCAGGCGATCACTTTTATCTGTTGAATCCTGACAACGAGAACTTCATCAAGAACTATATAACTAAGTGTTTGGAACTGTCATCACTTGATTGCTATTAAATGGGCTTTCTTGGGGCTTTCAAATATGCAAACAGATCACAAGCTGTCCCTCTAAGTCACGGAAATGTAGCTCTTTAGTTTTCGGAGATTAGAAAGATGCGTATTAATGAATTTCTTCATGGAACATTCTTCTGTCTGGGGAAGAGACAAACCCTGAAGGTCAGGGGGGCAAAGGGTCTATTGTAGTTGATAGCTGCAGCTGCAAGAGGCTGCTTTTCTTGGGGGGATTTCACAACTAGCGGTTTACTCACGCTCCAGTGAATGCCGGACACCCTTGTGGCACGTGCAGGCAGGGCTAGTCGGACCCAGTGGGCGACTTAAAAAAGAAGATGAGAAGGGGGTATGAAGTTGGGAGGGGTACATGCTGGAGGACATCCGTCGGGGGTGGTTGGAAAGGCAAGAGGGGGTATGAAGTTGGGAGGGGTACATGCTGGAGGACATCCGTCGGGGGTGGTTGGAAAGAAGATGAGAAGGGGGTATGAAGTTGGGAGGGGTACATGCTGGAGGACATCTGTCGGGGGTGGTTGGAAAGGCAAGAGGGGGTGGATATGAATATGATCAAAACATGCTGTATACATTTAGGAAAAGTTCAATGGATAAATAAAAATATTGTTAAAGGAAGAAAACTGCTAAAGTCCTCTATCTTTTTATTAGACTCCAATTTGATTGACATTCATACAAAGTTTCATTAGCAATGTGCCTCCAGGTGAGGTTATGCCTGCAGCCTCTTACACTATTTTAATGGCCAAGAGTGACTGACAGAGGGAAACCATCGTTTCTCCAACACCACACCGTGGCTCAAAGTTTAATCCAAAATACACATTAGACCTATTTCATAAGAAAGAGTAATTGCAGTTTTATAAAAAATACAACACTAAACAATGACGGTCCATTGTGATAGGAAGACCTCAGGGTGCCTACAACCCCAGATATCTTGGAGTCCTGTTACCCTGACAGTGACTGGTTGGAACTTGGAGCCCTTCCATGGGTGGTCAAACCACAGCCTGGTTAGGTAACTTGTTCGTGTGGCATAGGAAGTCAGGAGGCAAATCTACCCATCCCTCCACAGTGCCCACATTCTTAGGGGCCCAAAGCTACATGGTACAGTAAAGGAACTGTTCTGTTTGCGCCACCTTCTCACACTTTCTTTCAGTTTTAGGCTTTTCTTTTTTTGAGACAGGGTCTCACTAGGTAGCCCAGGCTGCCCTTGAACTCATGACCCTCCTGGCTCCACTTCTTGAAGCAGTGGGAATAGTCTGGCTGCTATTAATTCTGAACAAACTTTTCTTATTGCCCGGTAGCACTAACTCATTACAGAAGAACAGATTAAGTCAAGCAAACCAATACTGGGGCTGGGGAGATGACTCAGTCAGGAAAGAGCTTGCCTCATAAGCATAACACCTGAGTTCAAGCCCCAGACTGCCAAGCATGGTGGGATACATCTGTAATCCCAGTGCTGGGGAGGCAGAGATAAGAGGATATCTGAGGCTAGTCAGTTTATCGTACTTGTTGAGCTCCAAGCCAAGGAGATACCCGCCTCACAGGAAGTAAATAGCATACCTTAGAAAAACACCCAAAGTTAACCTCTAGCTTCTACATGCATGATACACATGTGTAACACACATGTATAAACACTCATGCACACACATAAATGCAAAAAGAAACGTGTTAAAGTTTATATGCATACTACAAAGTTATTTTTTGAGAAGGAACCTTTAATAGCCACCTTGCACAAGCAAGTAAAATTAGGTAACTATGTTAACATAGTCCTAAGTATTATAACTCATAGGAAAAATATACATGATTTATAGAGCTACCAATGCATTTCCCCCTAAACATTATGATGCTGTTATGAAGGCTTCCACAGGAGATCTGTCTCCTCTGTCAAATCTAGATTCCATATTTCTCAATCAGCTCTCTTGCTTTAGAAATATAGGCACTCATGGCATCTTCCTTCGACAATCCTAGAAAGATACAAACACAAACTCACTGACTGGTTTGGTGGGAAGTGAAGAAGGTTTGTTTTAACCTTATTCAAGAGTTAATAACCATCTAGGAGGTGGTGGCACACGCCTTTAGTTAGTCCCAGCATTTGGGAGGCAGAGGCAGGCGGATCTCTGTGAGTCTGAGGCCATCCTGGTCTACAAAGCTACATGGGAGAAAACCTGTCTCAAAAAACCAAAATAAAAGTAAAAAAGAGTTAAAGACCTTTTTGGAGGCTCCATGCTTCCCACTTGGCCTTGCCCTTCAAATCTAACATTGCTGGACATGCTGCCAAAAGAAGGAGAGAGTTACAACTTGACTTTTCACTGTGCACATCTACAGACACTGTGCAAACAAGTACATCTATTTGTCTGAAACCATGATTGGGTACCACCAATGTTGATGTCTCCGATGATGGACTGTTTGTAGAGCCCATAGAGTTCTTTGAGTTCTTCATCTTGGGGTCTGCTTTTCAGCTTCCTCACGTCTTGTGTGGCCTGGTCAAAATCAGCCTAGGTCAAGACAGCAAGGACACACAAAAGGCACATATGTGGTATGTATACAACACACACACACACACACACAGAGTCTAAATTTTTCATTGTAAGTCTCATGTCAACTGATTTCCAGTAAAGAGAGTTGTCTGGCTTACTTCGGGTTGAATAGCAAATGTGTCTTATCCTAAAGGAAAAACATTTATAATCTCCTCTCCTCTCCTCCCTCCCTCCCTCTATAACGCTGAAGAGAGATCATTTTACAAAGAGGAAAGTTGGTGAGCAGCCAATGGCCTAACACAAAGGAGTGGTAGCTAGAGGGAAACGCATCAGAAGGAGCCTGCCTCAAGAAGCTGAATCCTGGGGAAGGGTGTACAGGTATGAAGACACGAGCTGGAAAAGCTTCTTCTACAATCCAGACAGAATTCACTAGAGTTGTTTGTTCCCCCCATACATCCACCAAAAAAAAAAGGCAGGAACTATTCACCCTTGTCTGCTGGCCCATGGCAAGAGCCTGATCAAAGACCATTAGGTCTGTCCTTGGTGGGTGGATCAGAATGCTATCAGAGCTGACACAACTTTACAGGTGTATTTAATTTCAAAGCATTCTGGGCAAAAGGAAGGCCACCTTTCCTATGTTCCTGTTCCCAGGTTGCTGGGCTCCTGTGGCAGACGTTTCTGCTTCAGCGAGGTGAGTTTTCAGCATCCTTGCTGGATGTTCATCCTTGTGATATTCCTCTCCCTTGTGAACAATGCCCTCCCCTGTCCATGAGTGTGCTCCAAGGCCCTCCTGCTCCCACCTGTCCTGTGGCAGCGAACACAGTCACAGAGAACACAGAGCATCATCTCAGAGAAGCACTTGTTTCTCTGGATACTCTGAAGACAGCCTCTGAAGGTGACTCACAATTTAGCTCAGTTCACTTTCTGCAGAAACAAGTCAGCTTTCGTGTGAGCTTGATAAAGTCCTGGGAGCAATTCTTCCTTGTTGAATGGGGAAAGTAAATCCTTCAGTCAAGGTACTGGAGTTGTCTGAATCACACAAGTAAGTGTGTGTGTGTGTGTGTGTGTTGTGTGTGTGTGTGTGTGTGTGTGTGTGTGTGTGTGTTAAGGTTTAGCTATGTTGTCTAGGTGACCCCAGAACATTCATGCTTAAATGATTCCCTGCTTCAGTTTTTCTAATGGTGGCGGCAAGTGAATCCAGGGACTCCTGCACACTAAGAAGTGACCTACCAGCTGACCCACACATGAGCAATCCCCTTCATTTCTCAAATAGACTTCCAACCTGCCTTTTCTGCTTGAACTACTTTTTGTTCTGTTGTGGGTTGTTGTTGTTTTTGTTTTTCTGAGACAGGGTCTCATGTAGCCCAGTGCTGCCTTGAATCTTCTATGTAGCTAAGGATGGTTGTGCACTCCTGGTCCTGCTCCAAGTCCAGAGTGCTGGGATCACAGGTGTGTACTGCCACACCTGGCTTAGACTATCCCCCTCTAGAATATATTGTATTTTTCTTATATTATTACATTAGTAATGATTTCAAATTGAAATAATAAGCATATGTTTTAACAAAATCTTATCTGTAACACTTTATTCTTTAACTCTAATCAAATGCACCAAAATCTCATCTGTAATACTTTATCCTTTAAGTGTAATCATTGCATTGACTATAATTGAAGCATTCTTTGATCATAGTAATGCTGATATCTAGTTTTAAAACTAGAATCCTTTTTCTTTCTTTCTTTTTTGGTTTTGTTTTTCGAGACAGGGTTTCTCTGTGTAACAGTACCGGCTGTCCTGAAACTAGATCTGTAGACCAGGCTGGCCTCAAATTCACAGAGACCCACCTACCTCTGACTCACAAGTGCTTGGATTAAAGGTATGGGCCACTGCCACCTGCTAAAACTAGAATCTTAGCAAAGTGAAAGACAGTTTTGTTACAGCAAAAAATAGACTTAATGCATTTTAACATTCATAGCAATAGAAACCCACGCCCTGTGTCAGTTTTAATTACTTTTTCAATGTTGCCCTATTGGCGTGGTTGTTATTCACGCCTCTGCTTATTGCCCCCTCGTGATGTTCTTTAGCCTTTAGATCTTCAATGGAAATATTTTAAAGGTAACTAAAGGTACCCTTACCCACTGCTGCTTTAAACACTGCCCACGTGGCTCATCTAACGGCCTCTCTCCTCCACTTTTATTTACTCAACATTTGCCATTGCGCGCGTGTATGGGTGCACAGGTAACGTGGCATGCATGCAGAGGCCAGGGAACAATTACAAGAGTTAGTTCTTTCGCTCTACCTCATGGGTTGCGAGGGTTAAACTCAGATCACCAGGCTTGCCAGCAGGCACTATACCCCTCTCCTCTACCATGAGATAAGATGATGAGGTAGACAGGCAGGCAGCCTGGCAGGCACACACGCACTCGCGCACGCGCGCGCGCGCACACACACACACACAGATTAACGTGTCGTAGACTATGAGGGAGATGCAAGCCTCCGTGTTTCTGGGGTATGTCATCCACCCATAATAACATCTTGACTGAAGAAATAGTTAAAAATGTTAGATATACTCATAAGATAAAATGTTAAGCGTTAGAGATGTGTGTCGTCGAAGGTACTTTAATGAGAAAATGCTCCTAATATTAACTTACATACAGAAACAAATCACGGATGTATTATCGACCATACACATATGGGGGGAAAAAGACATAAGGAAGCAACCCACCATGTGGTTATCTACCAGGAAAAGGTTCTCCTGGCCTTTAATTTATTCATATGAATTCTCTTTCCACTTCAATCAATAAAATGGTAAGGCCAGAGCTCCATAGAGTAACTAGCATTGCTATTCAACAAAACACTTGGTTATGAAAACCTCCCGAGGCCCCAAGAGTAAGGGGAAATGGAGACCCCAGAGGATGTCACCAGCCTCCCTGAGTTAGGAGAAATGAAGGAGGGCCCCCCAGGGAGCTTGTCAATTTTTCACATCCCTAGGGCCTAGAAGGGTTGCTATGGGGATCCTTGGTCCTTGTCTACAAGGACGCAATAGCAAGGCGTTTAGGCAGGTGTAGGGAGTGACTGCAGGGTCGCAGCCAGACGCTCCTGAGCGCTCCACCTGCCTCTGCCCTGTCCTGGAGCTATCAGGCCTCCTCTAGCCCTTTCCGAGCGCTTCCTTCTCGGAGCATCGCTCCTGCAAAGCCTCCCCAGATCCGGCTTACCTGCAGGGACATAGTGATACAGTAAGGTATCCTGTGACTCCGGTCCCAGTCCCTAGGGCTTGGCCACTTTCTTAAAGAGAAGCGCTCCTCCTCCGGACTCTCCTATAGGTCGTTCTCTGGCTATGTCGACTCTAATTGGTCACGGGAGCTGGAGGGCGGAGCCGGGAGAGGGCTGTACCCTCCCAGTCTCTCAGAGACCCTGTCTGGTCTGCCTTTCCCTGGAGAGGTTTGCTCTCTGCTCCTGAATCAAACTTCAATTTTTTACATTTTTATTTATTTATTTTTGTCTCAAGAGGTTGTTTCCAGGAACCTAAGAGAGGTATCCCCGGGACTTGGACCTCACCTGTGAGTCCTTTCTCTGTGATTCTAGAAATCTGGGTGTTGAGTGGCGATTCCTGGGACCTCTCAACTGCCTCCACGCGAACTCATCAGGAGTGAAAACGGACCAGGAGCTTGTGAACCTTGTCTTAAGAAAACAAAGGCATAAATTCTAAGCTCGAGCTGCCCTCATCCCCGCCGGCATTTACTTACGGTCTGTTTAGTGGGACCCAGAACTCTCCGGCTGCAAATTCACCATCACCTGCGGCCTGCAGGGTCTCAAAATAACCGCACTTTGCTACACTTCCGGAGAACTGGACAAAGATGCCAGTTCCGGAGAAGAATTTGTTTCTAACTGATTAAAACAGAGTTGTGCAGATTGGGACAGAAGAAAAGAAACCCTGTATTTAGAGAGACTGAGTTTGGAACTAGAGCAATGTAACCTGCGATGAAGAAAAAAAGAGCCCCCCAAACTTTCTAACTTGGTTTTGTGTAAAATGTATGTTAGAAAACATTTGTTTTATGTGAATCCTGCTTTTTCTCCCTTTTTGATCTTTTTTTTTTGTGGTGAGATTAATCAATTCCTAACTACAGGACAAAAGGCAATTTTGGAGCAGCATCAGGGCGGCGTGTGGTCTTGGACATGGGAAGGGCATGGTGGGTTACCAGGGCAAAGGTTAGTTTCCCAACAGTGAGGTTTTCTGATAGTAGTAGTGGCTGCTGAAAGTGCCCATCTGCATTCCAAGAAATTAGCAAAGGGAAGCTACATTGCTCTCTTTTACACTGGAAAGTTTACTGTTTTTAAGACAGAGTCTCGCTTATCTCAAGTTGTCCTTGAATTCACTCAACCTCAGGCTGGCCTCCACTTTGTGATCCTCCTGCCTCAGTTTCCCAAGTGCTGGGATAATAGGCATCCACAGAATGTTCAAGATCCCTTTTCTGAGCTGGGGTCCTGCATTCGGATGCCAGAGCCTTGCAAGACCTCCAAGGCTGGCATCCATCCATTTCTATAATTTCAGTTGAGTCTGTGGCTGTTTCCGTCCTTCTCCCTGGCCTTCCCATTCTACCTTTAGGTGTAGTGAGTTCCTGTGCAAAAGTTCAAAGTTGCCTCTTTAAACACAGACAGAATACACATAATGCCCATTATCTGACCCCAGGGCGTAAGGATATTGTCCCAGGGAATTTGAGGTACAGGGAACTGACATCATGTTGTTCTGGGCGTTACATGAGTAAAAGCAAATGATCTGAGCCTAATCAGGTGCCTTTCTCTTTACTGGCCTTATCTATGGAAGGGTGGCACTGTTGCCTGGGAATAGCCCACATGCTCAAGACACATGGACACAGAGCTCACTGGGGTGTCCAGTGGACCTTCCAATAGCACAGACTTGAAGTCTGTTCTTTGGTTTGGTAGCTCATCATTAAAGTCCATTCGGGTTTTAAATGCTGGACTGATTGCAGACATGCAGGAAAAGTCACAAGTAATCCAGTATTTTATTTTACTTTTGGTTTTTCAAGACAGGGTTTCTCTTTGTAACAGCCCTAGCTGACCTGGAACTCACTCTGTAGACCAGGCTGGCCTTGAACTCATAGAGACCCACCTCTCTCTGCTGGGATTAAAGGCGTGTGCCACCACTGCCTGACTGAAACCAGTAGTTTAGACAATTACTACACACTAATAAAAAACTAGAAATAAATAATTGTTATTAACAGGTATCTTTACAGCATTCACAAAACCACAATAGCACATAAATACAGAACGAAGATCAGAATTTCATGAAAGAAAAGAAAAATCTGGTGTTCAATTATTACACAATATTTATTGACAAACTTTTTGTCAACTCTAATGCTACAATTTCTTTTTAAATTTATTTTATGTTCATTGGTGTTTTACCTGCATGCATGTCTGTATGAGACTGTTGAATCTCCTAGAACTGGAGTTCTAGACAGCAAGGAGCTGTCAATGTGGATGCTGGGAATTGAACCCGAGTCCTCTGGAAGAGCAGTAAGTGTTCTTAACCACTGAGCTATCTCTCCAGCCCATGCTAGAATTTCTTACCTAGAATCTTAAAATAGTGTTATCTTGCTGTAATCTTTATCTAACAGTTCAAGAATTAATACAAAAAGAAAGCTTCTATAAGCCTTCCAAGTTATTAAAAGCTTTTAACAGATGTTCATAAACTTAACTATTATTTTAAAGTAACAGCTATCATTGAAAAGTAAAATTGAACATTAGGTATGGAATGCCAAATATATAGTAATTCAGGAAACTACAGGAAGCTTACTGGAAAATGTTTGTAGAAAAAGAATCTGAACATAAACGGAATTGATACTACTGGTTTTTAGCACACATCTATAGGAAATAAGTTAGTAGATGGCTCTAAACAAAAATGTGGGATGACTGTATCATTACAGTCATTATCATTTTTAAGAAAACCTCTAAAAATAACTTGTTTTCTTATAAAGTTTGTGTCACACAAATAGAATAAATAACCTTTCAGATATAGAATGCTCTTTTGGTAAAATTCTTGTGGAAATAATGCCAGCCTTCAAACAGAAAACAAGGACTAAAATAGTAGGGGATATATTAATGTTTATCAACCCAATTCTGCCAAAGACGTCACTGGGCCATCACAGTTCAGTTTGTCTGGCACTTACTATATGGCAGGCACTGTGGTAAGCATCTTACACAGAACTCTCTTCTAATCCTCAGAATAGGTGCTATTTTTATCACTTCATGACTTGCCTGGGGCATAGGAACACTAGTTAGCAGCCGGGTTCCAAAGACTTGTAATGCAGGAGCTGGGGAAAATGATCAGGTCAGGCCACGGGTAAACTTTTATGTCTGGAACTTTAGTAGGACAACACACACAGCCATTGCCTTTTCTGCTTACCTTTTTACTTCTATTTCTCTCCCCTCTTGCCTCTCATTTTTCCTGTTTTTTCCCAGGCTGACATTGAACGCTATATCTTCCCGACTCAGTCTCCCAAGTGCCAGGGTTTGGTTTTTTGTTTGTTTGTTTTTTTTTGTTGTTTGTTTGTTTGTTTTTCGAGACAGGGTTTCTCTGTTTTGGAGGCTGTCGGTCAAGCCTGGCCTCGAACTCACAGAGATCCGCCTGCCTCTGCCTCCCGAGTGCTGGGATTAAAGGCGTGCGCCACCAATGCCCGGCTTAAGTGCCAGGGTTTTATGTGAACCTTTAATGTTCAATTCTATGGTCGCAATTTGTCTTCAGCGCCACGACTGCAACTTATCGTGAAGAACGTTTTATGAAACAAAAGTCTGTTGTTACACTCAAAACTCGTGCTGGCTTTATTCCTGTTAATCTGCTTGTGATAAAACCCACAGCACACTCCCTGCAAAAACTGCAACATTCTTTTGAAAGACCCCAAGAGGGATACTTTCACGGAAGGGAGACCCGAACCCAAGGAACAACGAGACCACGAGCTTGGATGCAACAGCAAGAGGCTTTATTGATAATACACGGGTACCCGGGGCATCTCAGTCTCGGGAACTGAGAGCCCCGAGCTGGGGACTCAGGGGTTCTTTTATAGCAAAAAGCGCAGTACAGAAGCGAGAAGCCTAGTAACAGGACCCTGATTGGGCAATTTAAATGAGGCTGGGGCTCAGAACGAGGGCAATTGAGGTTTTGCTTGGAACTCAAGTCTCGGCCTTGGCCCTATCTGAGGAACAATAGGTCTCTGTGCTTGCCCAATCTTGCTGGGCTGGCCATCTGGTCGCAGCAGATACCCAGCAGCCTGTATCCTTGGGCAGAGCTCCCTTCTGATAGCAATGACTATTCAGCTGTGGGGGAAACGGAATTTTCCATAAGCCTCAGCTGCCTGTTTAGACTGGGCCAGGGTCTTTCACTTTGACCAAAAACAACACTTTTTGTTTTAATTTATGTGAATAGGTGGTGCATAATGAAAATTCTAGACTCTTAAGTTTTAGAGTCTAAAATGAGGAGTGAAGACACAGAATAGAAGGAAGACATAGAGAAGGACCTGAGTCCTCCCAAATTCGTTAGGAAAGGACAGAAAGGATAAAAACATTTTGTCAAATGTAACCAACAGATTTGGGTTTTAATTTTTGGCACACTATCCCACTGTTTCGTTAGTTGTCCATAATTCCCCGGTGATCCTGTTCATAACCAATTTTTTTCTTTTGGTTTTTCGACAAGGGGTTTCTTTGTGTAGCCCTAGCTGTTCTGGGACTCACTCTGCAGACCAGACTGGCCTAGAACTAGCAGAGATCCTCCTGCCTCTGCCTCCCAAGTGCTGGGATTAAAGGTGTGCGCCACCAACGCCCGGCTTCATAACCACTTTTTGTCTCCATTGGTGCAGCAGGCACAACAAGATATTTCTGGAATACTGATGTGGAATTTAAAGCCGCCCTTATTTCTCTTTGAGTTGGCTCAAAATTCTCCACCTAAATTGTAATTACATCCAATCCTACAACCCCTATTTATTGGATTTTCGTGGTGCAGAGACATGTGCAGAGAATGAATGGCTTTAGGGGCTGGAGCTTTGCGATTCTAGAATGAAAAGAGATAGCGGGCCAGAATTCCAAGGCAGAAGCCACCGTGCTGTAAAACCAGAAAGAGCCAAAGCTTTCCACGAAGCCAGGAACTGGTTGTTACACCATCTTAACACAATCAGTCCGGATCGATAGCAGCTGGTTACTACAGCAACCACAGACTCTCGCGAGACAGCTCATACGCCTGCGCAGTGCTGCTCCAGAGTCCTGTCCCGCGCTCAGGGATTTTACGGAGGGACCTCCTGCTGTCACAAGCGGCCGCTCCAGTCCCTGACCAGGTGTGACGTAATGCAGAAGGCAAGCGGTCGGGCTGCGCAGGCGCAGCGCAGGCGCACGTGGAGCCGGCGCCCGGGCCCTCAGTGACGGCGGAGTCGCGGTGTTGAGTCCGTCCGTGCTGTAGTCTCCGCAGGGCGCGCTTCTGCAGAGGTGGGCGCGCGCCTGAGGTCGGGTCTCAGCCCGTGGGCACGCGTCACCGCGGGGTGGTGGGAAAGGGGCTGCTTACAGCTAGGGTCACCCAGCGCCAGGTCTCCCGGAAGCCCCTACAGCCGTTCTCCGGTGGCGGGCGGCTTCTTTCGTGCGGCGAAACGCGGGTACCTCTGCGTCTCCCGAGACCACGGGAGCTTCTCTGCTGCTGACAGCCTTTCCAAGGTCCCTTCCCAGAATCAAGGTCTTTCTAATCGCGCCACGCCACTGCAAGACTCCAGAGCCACCATCTTGTCCCTACCCGGTAACTCCAACGCCAGCATCTCTGTCCCAGCGACATTGAACTTGCTTTAATATTCTTCCGTGTTACTCCGCTGCCCCATTTCTACTTCGTTTACAAGGAATTCTTTAGATAGCGTTCATGTTCCCTAGGGAGCCTTCTGTTCCCGACTCTCGGCTAAGGCCACTCGTGTCTGCTCCCTAAGATACCTCACTATTCTGGCTTTAAAGTGAGACGTTTGTATTAGCCACAGAGGCTTTCGCTTTGCACAACGCCTAATGGCCTAGGGCATCAAGGATAATCCATCAGAATTTAATGAAGAGACCATGTGGTGTGTGAGTCGTATGCTAGGCAAGGTATACGACGAATAAGGACATGAGAAACCAGAGGCTTCATTAAATAACCCGAGTCTATAATATGCATGGGGGTGAAAGGAGAAAGGCTTGTGAGAAATGGTAGGATAAAAGCTAAACCTTTGAGTTTTCAGTTGACCCCATAGTAGCCGCTTGCAGACACAGAAAGCAAAGTACATATTCATCCTGGTTTCCCGTCTGTGAAGCTGTTCTTACTAATCAGCATTTTTTCCCCCATATTGCATGTCGGTCACCTTATGCAGACTTTCTTACTAATCAGCATTTTTCCCCATATTGCATGTCGGTCACCTTATGCAGACTTTACTTTTTTCATCTTTCCTTTCCAGGTTCTGCGTATCAGAAAAGTGATCCCAATCTTGCTGTCCCTTGGTTGCAGAGCATCTAAGTGTGAGTGTCCTTCTTAAACCACTGGGCTAGGCCGATACAGTAACTGATTTGCCGTTTGGCAAGAACTGTCGTGCGGCTGTTGTCTGGCCACATACAGCCAGATTAAGTTTCTGACAATCACCTCACTAGGCTTGGATGGCCTTCTGTTCTTTAATCTGAGCCTGTGGGGAGCATAGAACTAAGGGATCAATTGGGAGAGTCCAGTGCAGTGTGGGGAAGCATTAACTGTCCTTGTCTGTAGTAGTGGGCAGCATCAATAGGACCAGGGTTGCAGCTCTCACTGGGAGGGATTCTAGCTTTATGTGGAAGGTGATAGAAGGATCAGGAACCTGTCCCACACCACTTCCTAATGCTGGTTCTTTTTCTGATTCACCTGGACATCTTACCAGCCCCCATGGCTGGACTGCATTCCCACAGCTCAATAGCTCTAGGGTGGGAACCATCATCTGTTTGTTCTTAAAAGCTACAGGTTATTTCTAAGATGGAGCCATGAGTCTGCTTCCTAACCCATACACTGAGGAACCCTATAGGCGTCTTAGGGAATTGGGTGTGTGTTTGGAGAAAATGCCCTGAAATGGAAGAACCTTAATCAGAGGCGACTTGCTTCAAGTTAACTGGGTCTTTATAGTTCTCAGTTTAACTCTAAGAAAGAGAAAATAACTGAGAAGGAAGCATCCAGTTGACTTTGGAAAGGACAAGCCTGATCTAGATGAATGAATGCCCAACTAGAGAGCAACCAAGAACATACTAATGAGTCTGTCAGGTTAATACTGTGCTCATACAATCTCTAGGAAGATTGCGAATAGGCCAATGGCTTCTAAAATGCTTTTGGAAGGAGCCCAACCCTTTTATTTCTCCCTAATAGATTGACCTCTGAATTTCATCACAAAATTTTCATGAAATTGCCTGCCAAAGCAGTCCTCTTGTAATCATGTGAAGGGAAAAATATGTGTATGTTTCAAATGTTTTAGGAAGGAACTTGAGGATCACCAAAGAAGACTACAAAGGGGTACAGAATAGACGTTTTAGCCATGGACACATATTATTTTGGTTCTTAAAGCCTGATCTGGTTAGTTATGAATTTCAGAGACTACAGATAAGCTCTGTATGGACAGACACAAGAACACCATCTGCCCACTGAAGGAGCTCAGTGAATATGGACTTATAAATGAATAAATGAGGGGCCCTTGAGATTGTTCAGCGAATAAAAGCATTTACCACTAGGCTTGTGACCTGAGTTATACTGTGATTCAACATGGTGGAAGGAGAGAACCCACTTTGATAGAGCTGTCTGTCCCCTCTGACCTCTCTGGTGCCCAATGATAGGATCCCCAATCCTAGTAACTTAATTTTTAAAAATAAACTAGTGAAGTCTAGTTAAAGAGTTTAGAAGATGATAAATCCCTTAAGCTTTAACACCAGTCATTCTCACATGGCCTGTGTATCATGGCAAAAATAGGGGAAATTAAAACTATTCATTTTACCAGAGAAGTTATGTACATGGCTACCAAGTTGGGCCTATACAATTAGACTTGCTATAGCCTATCAATCTGGAGTAAAAAAAAAAAAACAAAAAACAAAAACACTGGACTATAACCAAAATATTCTCAGCATGCATTACTAACATGAGATAATGCTTCTTTCTGAAGGGTTTTCAAGATGGCTGCAGCCCCTCAAGCACCAAAGAGGGGATCTGTTAGGAAGACTAGACCTCTGGTTGTAAAAACATCACTGAACAACCCGTATGTCATTTCCTGGAGCACCTTGGAGAGAGAGGACGTACACTTTATATTACAGACACTGGAAGACAAATTTAAATCAATTGGACTTCAGAAAATTGAAGATAAAAAGAAAAAAAAACCCTTTGGAAAAAAGCAAAGTTGCAGCCCCGATGTTGAGACTAGTGAGGGTCTCAAAGAGGAGCACGATGAGAATGTGAAGGTCTCAGGGTGGACACCCACACACGTCAGAAAGCAGCTGGTCATTGGCGTTAATGAAGTCACCAGAGCCCTGGAGAGGAATGAACTGCTCCTGGTTCTAGTGTGTAAGTCAGTCAAGCCTGCTGTCATCACCTCACACATGATTCAACTGAGTATAAGCAGAACTGTTCCTGCTTGTCAGGTTCCTCAGCTCAGCCAGAGAATTGCTCCTGTCATTGGCTTAAAATGTATGTTAGCCTTGGGCTTTAGAAAGAACACCATGGACTTTGCTGAGGAAGTAAGAGCTATCATTCCCAGGGTGCCCAGCCTACATGTGCCATGGCTTCAAGACAGAACCCAAGATCCCAAAGACAGATTAGAGACAGAGTCTTTGGAAAGCCGGGACAAAGAGATTTTGGACACTTCATTTGATGATCTTACAAAAGCTAGTAAGAGAAAGGCTGCCGAAGGTGGGCAGGCTCCCGCTACAGCACTACAACCCCTTAAAATAAAGAAACTCATTCCCAACCCTCATAAGATAAGGAAACCACCCAAAAGTAAAAAATCCATTTCAAAGTAGTTTTGTATCAACTTGTCATTTCATGAAAGGATATGGTCTAAATACTTGATTTTCAAACAAATAAAGTATGTTTACATATATCCTTAGGATCCTGCATGGAGGTGTTCTTTCAGATATGGCAAGTCTTTCTAATTGGTGGGACACATATGCTGAAACTTAAAAACCATGAAGTACAGAAAACACTCAAAAACAATGATTAACAAAACCGGTTTATTGAGACTAATGTCCATGCGTGTATAAATTCACTGCTTTAAAGGCTGGTACAATGCTTGCAAGAACATCAGTTTCCTACAGCACTTAACATTTCTCTACCAAATGGGCCACAGACATGTCTAGTAAGGTGGGTGGGACAACTGGAGAAGGTCCTCAGTTGTAAGGGACAGACACTAAATGCTAAGCAGTACACTGTCTTCAAAAGTGGCACACCATTTTCACTTGGTAATTTGGCTTTCTTTGTAGGTAAGCAATGACACAGGCTTGGAAAAAGGCTTGTTTAATGCAGAAAACGAAAAGCCTAATAAGGTTATTTTATTAAGAATTCCCTTCCTGCACATAACTTCCTTGCAATATTTAACATCTATCAAAAGTCCATTGGGGGTATAGCTCTGTGGTAGAACATGTACTTATGAGCACACACAATACTTGGCTTGATCCCCAGCACCAAAACAACAAACAGAACAAAACTAACAAAACTTAACTACAGTAGTAACTTAGATGAAATGTAGCAAGAGGAGAGAGCCAATGGGTCTTGCAGACTAGGAGACGGAGTAGTCAGTGCTTTGAATATAAATCTACCATGTGTCTGGACAATCATTCTGTAATTTAGGAGGAAGTAAATGTGATATTAAAACCTCTTCACCCCAAGTTCTGCTTGAACTCATGGGCTGTGCCACCTTTGTTCCATTTGCTGACAAATTTCCATTTTTTAAAGGAAAGAAACCTTATAGCACATTTTGGATATAGAGACAGGGTTGTGTAACTTAGAAACTCTGGAGACTTGCATTTATATTTGGTTTTAACAGCTATTTTGTATCTGAGCAGTTGTACTGGTTAGTGATTTTCTAAAATATCAATTGGTCATGCGCTTAAATTATGAATACACCTATGTTAACTATTAGTGTATTTAAAGTGATGAATTTTGTAACAATTGCAATGTGCAGTAAACAAATCTCTAAAGGGATTGTTTAAGTTTCCTCATGAGGTAAATAAGCCCATGAAAACAATTCATGACTGACCTGAAAACTGAATTTGTGTAAGACATAAAAAATGAGTGAGACAATTCCCAAAGAGCTGTAAGTCCAGATTCACTAAACTTGCTTACCTAATGCAGTCTTTGTAATTGGTGTTCCAATGAATAGGTAGTTTTACTTCCTGAATGTGTTCTGTTAAAATGTGACACAGTTGGGGATGTACCATATGAAATGAGACATCTGCTGTGTCTCTTTAGGAACAGTACTGGTCCCACTTCTGCACCATTGTGAGGCCCAGTGCCCCCTTCTAGTGGTGCTATCCGGGATGGCACAATTTGTGGCCTACTTCTTTAGGACCTCAGTCCACAAACACCATTAAGAGGCCAGACAGCAAATATTTTTAACTGCAGGCAATACAATCCAGTCTGTCACAACTACTTGATTGCCCTTCGTAGCATGATGCAGCCATAGGCAGGTAATAAGTGAAGATGTGGCTGTATTCTGATAAAACTTTTGAATTTCATAAGATTTGCATGCTACAAAATGCCATTCTTTGGGTCATTTCCCCCAACCATTCAAAATAATAATGGCCATTCTCAGCTCATGAGCTGTCCAGAACAGTCAATAGGTGAGACTTGCCCTAAAGATAACATCTGGTGAGTCCTTTCTAGTGGGAAGAAAATGCCATGCTGTCTGAAGAAGGTGTCCTGGACTGGAGCGGAGGCACTGTAGTAAAGGCAGGAAGAAATATGTACTTGGTGGCCTCTGACTCAAAGGCCAGTCTATACAATGGCCTTGTTTAGTATTTTGTTTTCCCTTGGATTAGTGGCAGCATATACACATATATGTACACTGTGAAACTTGTTTTTCAAATTCTAGGTAAAAACAACATCAGTAACAAAATTATGAATACTTATTTACAAGTAAGACATTTTCCATTAGCATGACAATTTTCATGATAAATTAAAAGTCAGCATAAAGGAACATGTGCAATTTTGCATAATAAAAACATTCAGACCATCTGTGTGCTGTCAGCACTACTACACTCCTCCTCTGGGCATTTAATCTGACCTTAGAGCTTTTACTTCCTTCCCCTCACATATCCTTGAACATTGCTGATAAATGAAGACTGCAAGCAGTCTCAAGGTCTGGTCAGTCAGGCGTGTACTCCATTGAGCATGCTCAACATTTGCCCCAAACTTTGCTTTCAAAACAATCCACTGACCTGCTGAAGAGCAAAGGACAAACCTGCATTTTTACTGATTTGGCTACTATGCTTATGTGATAGACCTGTGTGTTTGCTGATTTGGCTACTATGCTATGGAATAAATGTGTTAAGTCACTGGTACATTTTCATATTGCTCCATACGTAATTATCACATGTCAATTCTATAAACACTCCCAGTGGCATCACATAAGGTGATACACATATGGATCCTTGTTCTGTTATACAAGTATATCACCACTTAAACAGAAAAGCAGCAGTGACTCTCCTAACAGCAAACATTTTCTTAACATGATGCCACCACTTCTGTTTGGTTCACAGAGAAACAGTTCCACTTCTAGAGTGGAAGGACAACATCCTCTCTTTACCATGAGAGCTCTGTGGACACTTTCATCCCTCCCACAAATCAGTCAACAGCAGAGATTGGCTCTCAACATCCTAACTATAAATGTGTACTATTGGCCATCTGTTCTGATTGTTATCCACTACTTCAATTTCACTCAACTTGTGCTTTTATTCTTCTTTGGAATGGCAGTTCCAGGACTCACTATATAGAATATTAACAAATGAGAATGTCAAGTCTTCTAGAAGTAACATATCCATCTACTGTAGAACAAGCCCAACCTAAAGAAAGGAAAAACATGAGATAAAACCAAATGGAAGAAGAAATTGAGTTATAACACAACACACTATATCTGTGTTTAGAAAAGTTCTCCTGGGCTGCAATGCTGGCTTACAGGGTAAAGGCACTTGCCACACAAGTCTGATGGCCCTAGTTCAGTCCCTGGAAGCCTGGTAGAAGTAGAGTACTGACTGATTCCTCAAAGCTGTCCTTTGATCTCCATGTGTGCTGTAGCGCACATGTACCCCATACAATAAAAGAAAAAACAAAACGAAAACCAGCAGCAGCAACAACAACAAAAACCCAAATAAATAAAAAGTTCCTTTCATCCTATAGTAGTACAGGAGAATCCCAATCTCTCTCTCCTCCCCCCTCTCCCCTTAACACACACACACAGAGAGATTGAGATTAAAAATAACAGAAATAGATAAAAGCCCCTTTATCATGAAGAAAGGAAGCTGGTATGGGGCAGTGATAACAAGCTCACTCACCTTTTCTGAGTCTGTCCCTGGACACCTCCAGTTATACAAATAATACTGTAAGTTGCCGTCTCCTATACCAAACTTGAGTTTTTCCAAGAAAGTCTTATTTTCCATCAAATCTAGTGCATTGAATACATCAAATCCTTTCTGCCAATATAAAAATTTAAAATACCAAGGGCTTAACGTACTCTTTGTGTATATATTCCTTTACAACATTAGAATTCTTTCATAGTAACTTAAATATGTACTTATAAGGCTAAGTATCTACACTATAAAGCCACAGACTAAGTAAGAATCATCTTAGAAGGCTGTATTATAAAGACAACTGGGGAAGGGACTAGAGAAGTGGCTCCATGGTAAGAGCCGCACTGCTGTAGCAGGGGACCTTTCTGTAAGCTGATTTGTTTAAGGAGAACCAAGTAGTACAAAAAGCAACAACACTCACCAACTTGGCTATAATGAGTGCGTCATTCATGAGGTCCAGCAGGGGTGTCTCCGTGTGAATGTTGTAGAAGGAATAGGCAGCCTTGAGGCTCTTGTGGGCGGGGTGGTGCATAACCGTGGAGGGGAGCGTGTAGAAGCTCAGGAAATCAGTCAGCTTCCCACTGGGGCTCTGAGGAACAGAGGTAAGCAACAGCAAGTGAGTGTTTCCTTGAACAAGCATTCAGATGCTGACCTATGACTTACACCCAACTTTCTGTCCAACAACTGAGATTTTCCTCTCTAACCCAGTTTGAGGCCTTTATGGTGGGTAGAGAGCAACAGGTGGACGTAAGCTTAGCTAAAGTGCCAGTGGGAGATGTGCAAGCGCTTCCAAAGCAGGCTCTAATGGAGTTTCTCCAGGCTGACTGCTGAATCAGTGCCCACGCTGATAGGACAGGGACAGAAGTAGATTTGCAGCCTCCAAGCTGAGGGCCAGAGGCTGCCTTCCCTACTCACACTGAAGCATATACAGGCTGCTGCCAGGAGGAAACAGCTGAATGCTGAGCTAGCTACCCAGTGGTGAACAGAACACCACTTCAAAGCACATGGCCACTCAGCCTTGGTATATGGCACCTATTCTTAGAAGTGAATGAGAGCTGGTTACTTTAGGAAAATTAACAAGACTTGTTTGTTAACATGTGAATTTTCAGGGTCTAAGTTGAAGTTTTAAAGAAGGAAAAAACCACCATCTCCTCTACCATATCGTACCTTATAATCTTTCCTGTGACAAAGATCTTATCCATGAATGTAATGTTTAAATATTATTTAATGAAATTCCATTATCTGAAAGATCTGTGTAACCCATGGAATTAGTATTTTCCAAGTAGCCAATGCATGATGTTGCAAACTTGTAAATAAGATTCATTCAAAGAACCAGGCGTAAGTTAGTGGTAGAGAATCTACTTAGTGTGTATAAAACTGCTAGGGAAAGGGGACACATAGAGAAAAAAGGAAGAGGACAAAGGTGGGGGACTGGATCGAGAGAACAGAAAATTCACTGAAAAATTAACAGCATTCATAATTATCTGGCAGAAAAAAAAGTGTGTGGTAGTGCACATTAGTGGAGGGGAGGGGTCAA